ACACATGCTCCTGATGATTCTCATGATCAAAGAAGTATAGAGGTTAATGCATTAAAAAACTGAGTAGCTTTAAGGAAGAAATTATACTAATTCTCTACAATCTGTTTCAGGAGATGGAAGCAGAGAGAATATTTCCTAACTTATTCTATGAGGCTAGCCTTACACTAATACCAAAACCAGACAAAGATATTACACGAAAAGAAAACTACCAATCAATATCTCTTATGAACACAGATGGAAAATCCTCAACAAAATATCAGCAAATCAAACCCAACAAAGTATAAAAAGAATAATACACCACAACCCAGTGGAATTTATCTCAGGTGTGCAAGGCTAATTCAACTTTTGAAAATCAATTAATGTATCCATCACATCAACAAAGAAAAATCACACAATCATATCAATAGATGCAGAAAAAACATTTGACAAAATCTAAATTCTCAGTAAACTAAGAATAGAAGGGACTTTTCTCAACTTGATATAGACTGTCTACAAAAACTCTACAGCTAATATCATATTTAATGGTAAGAAACTCAAAGCTTTCTCACTAAGATCAGGTACAAGGCAAGGATATCCCCTCTCACCACTCCTTTTCAACATCATGCTGGAAGTCCTTGCTAACGCAATAGGGCAAGAAAAGGGAATAAAAGGTGCACAGATTGGGATGGAACATAAAACAGTCTCTGTTTACAGATGACATGATAATCTATGTAGAAAATCCAAAAGAATTAATAAAAAAAATAAAAAACAACTCCTGGAACTAATGAGCAATTATAGCAAGGTTTTAGGAGACAAAGCTAATATATAGGAGTCAGTTGCTTTCCTATATACTAACAATTAACAAGTGAAATTTGAATTTAAAAACACAATCATTTACATTAGCACCCCCAAAAATGAAATACTTAGGCATAAATCTAACAAAATAAATGCAAGATCTATATGAGGAAAACTACAAAACTCTGATGAAAAAATCAAAGAACTAAATAAATGGAGAGATATTCCACGTTCATGGATAGGAAGACTCAATATTGGCAAGATGTCAGTTCTTCCCAATTTGATCTGGAGTTTCAATGTAGTCCCACTCAAAATCATACCAAGCTATTTTATGGATATTGACAAACTGATTCTAAAGTTTATATGGAGAGACAAAAGACCCTGAATAGCCAGCACAGTACTGAAGGAGAAGAACAAAATTGGAGGCATGACACTATTCAACTTCGAGGCTTACTATAAAGCTACAGTCATCAAGACAGTGTAGTATTGGCAAAAGAATAGACAAATTGACCAATGGAAACGAATAGTGAGCCCAGGAATAGACCCACACAAATATAGTCACGTGATCTTTGACAAAGGAGCAAAAGCAATACAATGGAGCAAAGACAGTCTCTTCAACAAATAGTACTGGAACAACTGGACAAAAAATGAATCTAGACACAGATCTTACACCTTCCACAAAAATTAACTCAAAATGGATCAGAGACCTAAATTTAAAATGCAAAACTATAAAACTCCTAGAAGATAACATAGGAGAAAACTTTGATGTCCTTGTGTATGTTGATGACTTTTTAGATACAACACCAAAGACACAATCCATGAAAGAAAGAATTGATAAGTTGGACTTCACTAAAACTAAAAACTTCTGCACTGTGAAAGGCAGTATCAAGAGAATGACAAGACAACCCACAGGCTGGGAGAAAGTATTTGCAAAATACACATTTGATAAAAGGCTTTATCCAAAATATACAAAGAACTCTTAAAACTAAGCAATAAGAAAACAATCTGATTCAAAAATTGACCAAAAACCTCAACAGACACCTCACCAAAGAAGATATAGAGATGACAAAAAAGCATATGAAAAGATGCTCCACATCATATGTCATCAGGGAAATGCAAATCAAAATAACATTGAAATACCACTACATACCTCTGAATGGCCAAAATCCAGAATACTGACAACATGAAATGCTGTTGAGGACGTGAAGCAACAAAAAACCCTCATTCATTGCTGGTAGGGTTGCAAAAACATACAGCCACTTTGGAAACCGTTTAGTGGTTTCTTATACAGCTAAATATACTCTTACCATATGATCCAGCAACCATGCTCCTTGGTATTTACTCAAAGGAGTTGAAAAAGTATGTCCACACAAAAACCTGCACACAGATGTTTATAGAAGGTTTTTTCATAATTGCCAAAACTCGGAACCAACCAAGATGTCTTTCAGTAGGTGAATGGATAAATAAACTGTGGTACATCCAAACAATGGATTATTAATCAGCACTAAAAAGAAATGAGCTATCAAGCATAAAAAGACGTGGAGGACCCTTAAATGCATATCACTAAGTGAAAAAAAACAATCTGAGAAGGCTACATAGCCTATCATTCCAACTATATGACATTCTGGAAAAACCAAAACTATGGAGACAGTGAAAAGGTTGGAGGTTGCCAGGGGTTGGTGTGGGAGGAGAGATGAATAGGAGAGCACGGAGGATTTTCAGGGCAGTGAAAATATTCTTTATGATACTATAATGGTGGATAGAGGTCATGATACATTTGTTCAAACTCAGAATCTACCAAAGAGTGAACCCTAGGTAAACAATGGACTTCAGGTGATTATGATGTATCAAGGCAGGGTCATCCTTGGTAAAAATGTACCATTCTGGTGAGTGATGTTGATAATGGGGAAGGCTATGCATGCTGGGGGCAGGGAGTATACTAGAATTCTCTGTACTTTCCTCTCAATTTTATTGTAAACCCAAACAGCTCTAAAAAAGTTAAGTCTTTTTAAAATCTAAAAACCAACAACTGAGTAGTCATGATTTGTGTTGGATGGTTGTTCCTTACAACATTTGGAATTTAGAGGAAAGGGGATGCTTTAAAAATTTGTCTTATATTATTCTTAAGCACTCCCTGTTTTCTAACTTCAAACTTATAATGTAAATGCATTTTGAATTGTAATTACATTCTTGTAATACTATTTGGGCGCAGTCATGAAATTTTCAAAATTTCAAAAATTTTTTCTTTGTGTTCAATTGTTTAAACTCTCTAAAACTTCATTCTCTCCATTTTTCCTTTTTCTTTTTCTTTTCCATTGCTTGATCCTTTGTATCTTGGCTGAGATTCTCCTACAGCTTCCTCGTAACTCCTCTCCAAATGACACGGATGCAAGTAACCATACTTGATTGGTCTCTGCCCCGTGCACTGCATCCCTCCGTCAGACAATAGCAGCTGCCTTTTTCTGAATTTTCTCTCAACAATGGGGCCATGAGGGGCCATGAGCTTCATATACTGGTTATTAATTCAAAACTAATGGAGAAACAGGAAAACCTGATGGTATGACAAATAATTCTATATCTGCAAAAGGAGTTCCAGAAAATGCTATAATTATATCAGGATTATAATGAGATTAAATCTAAGGTAGGGCTCAGATTGGATTTATTTTTAAACTAAATCTCTTCTTGTGGCTTTTTGTGGACTGTGTGTGGTCCACTGAATGCCAGTTTGAAATGAGATTGCATATCTTCCATTAGTAGCAATTGAATAGAGTGCTTGAATTTGGCTTAATTGTTTTATAAAATGCTTATAGAAATGATCCTTTTACGTATGCATGTAGCTATACCTTGATCACATCTTAGTAGGTGTCATCATGAGCGTATTCTGGTGAATGGTAAATTACCCTGAATGACAGGAAGCTGAAATCTATTTCCCGTCTTGGCTACTCATGGGCTGCCACTGTGGTCAGTCCTTCAACTTTTCCTGCCTTAATTTTTTGGCCTGCAACATAAATGAGCTGAGGTAAAACACATTCCCTATGAAACAGCTGTCTTCAAAATTCTAAGCATAATCATTTGTGATTGTTATCCAGGCAGTTTAGCATCAACTGAAAATGTCAGACGTATCCTTCCATTTTTAGCAGAAGCAACGCAAATGAGAAATGATATGCCCAAGAAGGAATCTTGATGGTTCATCTTTTCATTCTTCTTCTTACAATCCAAAAAATTTTTCTTTCTTCTCATTATACCAAGAATTCATAGGGAATAGGACATCCTTTAAAACTTTATATTAGCATGAAAGAGATTGCTAAACCTTTGAAACCCCCAAAGGATGTAACCCCAATACCTGTATCTTTGTGGTCATGGGTATATTGTGTGACAACTGACAGTGTTTTCCACACAGCTGATAAGTTTTGTTGTTTTTTTTTTTTCCCTAATACTGAATGAAAACCTGCTACATTGCAGGTTTCAGTCACTGGTTATTTATGTATTTGTTTATTTTATGCTCTGTCTCAATACCTAGGAAAGTATACACAATTAAATAGGATAAAATAAAATTTAAGTTAAGCAAGTGAAGAAATTAGAGAAAATGGAAGGGAGAATAAGGAAAAACTGGGAATTAAATTATTGCATAAAAGACTTTCCTTGATCTTGTACATTTGCTAAAAATGGGACATCAGTTTGCCTCTGAGATTTTTAACAGTTACCCATTGGTCTGACTTTTGCTACCTGAAGCTGCACATAATAAATCAAGTCCCTTTTCCACAAGGAAGTTCCTCAGATACGCAAAAAAAGAAAAGTTCTGAGTCCTCTAGGCTAAATCAGAATGAATAATCTTACCCATTGCCCACAAAATATTATTAATTTACTTCACCCTTGTAAGAAAATTCTAGTCTGTTCTATTGCTTCTCTGCTAAAGGACTCTAGGGCATTTGATTGCCTAACCTCATTCCATTTAACTTCTTTTAAGTAGAACACTTTTTACATGGCATTGAGCCATTTGTGGGTGAATAGTGGAATTGACAATAGCAAGAGCATTGTGGTAGCAAAGTCCACCTTTAACACTCTCTATCATGACCTAGGGACATTAGGACCCATTTTTGCATTCCCTCCTAGTGATTCGCTGTAGCCCGCACAGATTGAGAGTCACTTTACTACTAGAGACTTGAGTAGTTATTGCTCCTTCTTACTGGCTTCATAGAAGTACGTTGAAACCACTCAGATATCCTATTTTAAAAAAACTCGGGCAAAGGGGATTACGTGCAGAGATTGGATATTAGCATGATCTGGCTCTGATATCTGTCATCCCTACAGTGTCAGCATTGTGGTTCAATTTATCTGAGTGTTAGGTGTGCTACGCCTTTCTCTCCCATCACTCTGCGTATGTTCCTTCCAAAGCTTGGCATTTGGTGAAGAAGAAGACATTGTCAGACAAGGACTCTCCCTCAGAAAGAGCACAGGAGTATTTGAACTTCTGTGCTCAAACCTCCAGTGAACATCACTGGGCACATTTGAGCAAGAGAGACTCTAAAATCTTTTCATCTACGGTCAGTAGAATCAGATCCTTTCTCAGCCTTTAAATTGTGAAAAAGTTTAGAATGTATTCAAAATCCATGCACAACTCCACTCACCCACGGCCACTGCAGGCAGGAGACAACCAGTGTTTCTGTCTCCAGTGCTCTCACAACATATCAGTCTGAACCACAGACCATCTGGCAGCTTTAATATGTCTAGATGTCCCTCGAATTCAAGTGGCAATTATGCATCAGCCAGCTGTGATCTTCATCCAATTCATCACCACATTCTTCTCAGAGCTCATTCGATTAGGCATTCTAGAAAGATTCAAGAGGAAACAAACACCTCAGAGATCAGAGGTAAATATGCTCCCTATGGTTGTGTCCAAAGTAATTCAGGTTCAAAGCCCTAAGAGACTGAAATATTGGTGCAGCTACATTGTGAACTAACAACAAGCCCTCTTAGCATCTTGTTATTATCATAATAGCTTTGGCACCAAAGATTTTACAATGGTGTCTCCTGGAATTTATTTTTACCTCCCTTCTCAGAAATAAGTGACTCGGAGTTATACAACCACTTTTGATAGGCAGAGGGGTGATGGTACCTACAGCAAGTAAGACAATATTCAGTCATCTTAGCAACAAGATACAAGGGGAACCCAGAGTTCAAGTACTGCTCTGGTACCCTGTTTTTGGCCCTGGGCCGCTGGCCCCCTGGCCCTCTTCAGCATCCATTTACCAGAGGAATAAGACACCAGTTTTTCATACCACCATAAAAACATAATGATTTGAGAGAGATCCCCCATACCTCTGACCAAGAGAATATCAGGCTTTTAAAATTCATCCAAGAGAGTTTGAAAACTTCTGCAAGTGCAGACTGAAAAAGAATAAAATAAAGCAATCAGAATGCCAGGAAAATAAATATAACCATACAAGAAAGTTGTGGTCCAAATGAAAGGCAAACTATAACACAGCAGGATGAGTTTGAGTGATTGGTGAAATATACATCAAAAAAATAAACTTGAACTTGATACCAAGACCGGTATATTTTGTGAGTCAGAGGGGTTGTGACATTGGAATTGTAGAAAAAGATATGTAATCATTGTAAACTAATTGGGTATATCGTGAACAATGCTTACTTCTCATAATGATTCAGCACATTTTTCCTTTTTTAGCTTTTAAGATCAATCTATGGACAAATCACAGAAGTCATCAGACTTTACTGTGCATAGGTCCTTATAAGTGTCCAGGAAGAAGTGATGAGAACAGGCAGTGGAAATATGTTCTGATCTTCCAGGGTGGAGAACAAACTATTCTATATGATTGATGGAATAAGAAATAAATATTTAAATTATGTGGGTAGAAGTTGAAGTGAAGGAATGGAGAAGAGTAAAATACACGTTAACAATACGTTGGAAACAGAGATGGGTAAATGAGAAAATTTGCATCTCATATAGTAGGAGGCAAATTTAAAAATAATTTCTAAAGTCGGTATACTGAGCAGTAGTTACAGTAGCATGGTTAATAGAATTACAGAGGCAACCGTCAGGTCAACTAAGTAGAGAAATGGTAAGTTGCTTCTGGAGAGTGGAGCTGGAAATGGGGAAGGACAGAGCAGAGGACTATTACTTTTCCATATAAAATTTTGTGTACTAATTGTAAATAGCAATGTAATTGCATGTTTTCAATGCTGTTCTGGCCTATTTACTCTGTAGGTTCAACAGAAATCCAGAAAGACAACTGCCATTGAAGTAGAAACCACAGAAGGTCCAAGACCTCTCCCTGAGAGACCTTTCCCTGAGAGACCTCTCCCTGAGAGAAATGGGAAATGTCTATAACACTTACATTAAGTGCATGGTTGGGTTATTCCATTAAAGAAAACTTCATAGATTTCTGATTTTTAATAAATACAGAGTTAATTTTAGTCTGAAGTTAGAAGTGCTGCCGCATTTAGTACAAAACTTGCAAGATCTATAGATCCACTGTGCTTCTAACCACTCCCACACAGCCTCTCTGCAATGAAATATGATTCCACCAGGCTAGACTTGTGTCAAAGAAACGTGTTAAAGAACATAAAGATAGTGATGATATCACCATTTCTTTGCTTGTCTAGCACATGGACTCCTAAAGGCTCAGAATTCTTTTAGTTTGCTGTTAATTTATCTTAACTTTAAGTGGGGAGGTTGGAAAGAGTGCAGTTATTTCTCTCAAAATTAAGTGACTTCTTATAAGGTCACATGGTCAATGGAGAATGCAGGCCTCAAATACAAGTGATTTGTCTCAAATTCAATGTTCAATTTGCTAGACCCAGACTCACAATAATAACAGCTACCCTTTATTGAACTCTAACTATGTACTAAGCTCCATGTAGGGCTCATCTGTCCCTCACACTGTACTATTATTATACCTATTTTACCAGTAATAAAACTGAGGAACAGAGAAATTAATTGACACCAGCAGGTTTGGCTAGCAAGTGATAAATCTAGGATTTGAACTCAGAAATTACTTGCATAATGTAGGTTTAGATTAGAAGGGACCTGTGAAATCATTTAGCCTAATTTCTTCATTTTATAATGGAGAAAATCCTGAATCATAGAAGAAAATTAACTTGTCCCAAATTACACAGCTGGTTAGTGACAGAGCCAAGAGTAGAACCCACATATTCTGGCTTCCAGTCCAATACTCTTTCAACCACAGAAGGTCAGAAAATGTTAGACTGTTTGAGACTCTGCAGCCCATCTGGGTTTTTGAAATGCCAGAACTGTGAGTCTCAATACTAAGTTAACTTAAGATCTGAAGATATTTAATAGCACCACACTTTCACATTTGGCAAAGCCATAAGATTTCATGGAAAATCACGGCACCAAATGATACTGCAACCTTCCATATTCAATAGCGCCACACACAAAAAAATCCGTTTTCCCAGCTTGGTAGGGACACCTCAAAAAAAATCAGGTTATTTGTTGTTCGGATGCCTTCAGCTCTGAAGAAGCATTTTCTGGAATTGACTAATGGTCAGAACCAAAAGTGAAACTTGTATATTCGTGTATAGGAAATTAAAACACAAGGTCAAGAATTCAATCCAGGCCATTTTCCATCAATTCCTAGGTCATGATGCTCTTAAACTGGTGGTTAATTTAACAACGCAGCTCACACTTGTGGCTTTATTTACTAAAGTATGATGTTACCACGTCAATAAAAAAAAAATTGTGGGGAAAGTTTCCATATTTATACATAAGAATTTGAAACATCAAAAACAACAAATAAACACAAGGGAATCACAATGAATTACTCTTTCAAAAAATATCCTCAAAGGGCTCTTTATTTGCAATATTAACCACTGCAGTACCCATGCACACTCTCACTGTAAGAAAAGATTTGTGAAAAGAAAGTTTGCAATTAATTTAGCAGTGACATTAAAATACGATCTTGGAAAAACTACACTTTGATAAAAGGAAAAAAAGAGAAGGAGAATGCAGTGAAATTAAAGAGATTTCATGCAATTGTCTTTATGTTCTGGGAACCTGACAAATGAATGGGGGAGTTGGAGGAATAGCCAGGGAAGTGCATAAAGAATACCCCAGCAAAGTATTTGCAGTAAAACAATTTTCCCTTTGAAAATCTCTGCTAGGCTTTGGATTACGCTACTAAACATTTACAGCTCTCAGATCTCCATGTATCCGCTGCAGATTGCTTGAAGGAAAGAAAGAAAAAGAAAGCGACAAGGTTGGATATGCCTCCAAGGAAGCAAAACAGAGGTATTTCCAGACCCGATTCAAATGCAGCCTCGTGGAACATGAACTATCAGATGGCGCCAGGCAGCGTTCTTAAAATCTCTAGGTACACCTAATACCTCCAAACACACCAGTCCTTAAAATAATATTTTCTCCTCTTTATTATAGCTTCTTACTGTCTTATCTTGTTGTCTAATCAAAACCATGTTTGAGATATCTGACTATGTGGAAGACTTAATAAAAGTGCCTTAAGTTGGCTTAGGCAGTAAATCAACAAAAGAAGCCATTTCCTGCTTCCTACTCTAGCCTCCAATATTGTGAATATTGACTTTTAAATAGTAGAATGCCCTGTGAAGTTTTCCCTTCAGCTCAGAAAAAAAAAATCTGTTGCTATTCTAACTGTATTCAACCAAATGAAGTAAAGATTATTCTGCAACCAATTGGTGATTGGTTCACCAGCTGAATTTGGTCCATGGAAAATACTTTATCGGTTCTATAGTCTCCAGTTCACCACTGGTCTCACCAAGTCCAATCCACACTTCTATGCTTCCTTCCTGATGTCTGCAGACATTTTAATTGGTGATTCCTGCTAAAGCAATGTGCAGACTTCCTTCTTCCAGTTCTAGATTTAAAAGCTCTTAGATAAATGTAGTAACTAAACTAAAGATATTTTTAAATGTGGGAAAAATGGTCAAGGGAAGAAAATCTATGCTTATGCTCCTTTTAGATGTGTTTTCCTTTCTGTCTTCATCACCTTTCTTTATGTTCCAAAATATCTAGAACCCAGGGTCCTTGATTTTGGCCTTCAGAGGAAGCCTTTCTTGACTCCTAAATTCCATATAAAACTTATCGGACCATTGTCCTAATCCCTAAGCAAACTAAACCGCTGGTTCCCCAAATCTTCTCAAATTGATAAATTAATACACAAGATGTTAATATATTGACGTGTTCTTCATTCAGATAACTTAATTGAAGTGAAACAAGGAACCTTTA